TCCTTTCAAAGGGGCAGGAAAGGGTAAAATGGTCCATGCCAATCAAATGCAGGAGATAAAACACATTTGAATTAGAAGTAAATTTTAATATCTCAAGGTCATCTTATCCTCATTACTCCTTAAAAATGTGATTCACACTGATTAGCCCATATTGATCCATAACTACAAATGAATTTATAGTTTCAAGGCCTCACACTGCTTCCCTTTTCCCTGTTAAAGGAATTTGGAATTAAAATGAAATGGATAAAGGCTCAATCAATAAACAGTATTCTGTTAGCTCTAAGATAGCCATACAAGTAGAATCAGCAAATAATGGATATCTTTATATGAATTTATTAGCTGTTTATACATAAATTATACATAATTGTTGCTTAGCTGTTATTTCCAAGACAGCAATGAAAACATAGCTCTTTTGTTATCTTTTGGGATAAATCTGCTCTTTCATAAGAGGTATCTGCATTTACTTCTTATACCAAAAGCTAAGCCGGCAGCTGTCAATCTGTCCCAAGTAACTGTTACACTCTATTCCTGACAAATATAGCTACCATACTTCAATGTGAAGAGTGCCTGTTCTGGGATTCAGAAGGTCTATACGTAGTTCTGTGATTAATACAAATAAATTATGAGCTTCTTAAATGAAGAGTCTTCAGTTAACAAAAGTATGCATGCATTAACCATTTTGTGAAAACATGCCTTTTGCCCACTCGGGCAGCCTGATTTTAGGGATTTTCTATGATGATAAACTATCTGTCCTTGAAAGGTTTCTAGAGATCTACCACTTTTCTAAGTCTGATTTAAAAGCTCCCAATGCTGTTATTCACATATTCATAAGGGTTTCTGAATTTCTGAGATGACTCCGAGTACAGTCTTATAACTCAATAGTCCAATTTTAGAATGGCACCCCTGACTAGCAGCATTCTCAGCATTTAAATCTATGTCTGTCTGCACCTAGTTAGACAGCTTCACAGAATAATAAAAACAAAATTAAAAAAAAATTATTTCTAAAATAAAGCCATTTCTTAAATCTGAAAAGTTTGTAGTATTGACATGTGTTCTTTAGCCCTCCCCTTATATCCTCCTATTCAAAATACTCAGAAATTGTCAATAAACACAATTTTTTCTCTCGAGTGTAAAAATGCCTTCCTAGTCTTGGGTAGGCAATAAAATAGACCTGATTAAGTTTTTACCAATAGCATCCTGAAAGTGATATATGCAATGCATCTGTGATTTTTTCTTTTTGCATTCCTCCAAAGTTGTTCGTTAAATGGAAGTCTTTCACTATATGATTGTTTTTCTTGAAGGGGAAAAACTAGGGCCTTTTGTAACATCAACGCTAATCTCAATCAAATATGCATATATTGCAGAAATAAAAAGTATTACATGCAGCCCTACTACTACATGCAGGCCTCAGAGACCTATTATTAGTTATTGTGTACAGTTCTCACTGAAGCTAGTAGAACACCAAAGAAATCTCTTATGCAGGTATGTAAAAATATACCTCTCATAGCAAGATTCACATGGGTCCTAAGATATAGACTGGTGAAACATGAATAGATGTCCTCTGCCTGGCCAGAGTAGTCACCACGGCTTCAATTTAATTTCATTTTCTGACCGATCGATATATTTCAGTCCTCAACTGAGAGAAATACTAGAAATGAGTCTTTTCTGTAGCTCAGCAGAAATAAATAGGTTTTGCATGCCAGTGTTATAAACAAACTTAAATATGCATGGTTATTGTTACTTAGGAAGCTAGGGACTTCCCCTGGTTATAAGAGGCTTTTAACGGTCTCCTACAACAACTGTGTAGGACCTTCTTTTCACAGAGATATGTGATCATTCCAGCTGACGAAAACAGTGGATAAAATAGTACTGGTGACATTTAAGAGCCTAATCGTACCACAGGATTGAATGAAAAAGCAGTGTAAGAATTACTTCTGAAATGCATAGAGTACTCATAATGTGAAAATTAGGTCCTAAGGTATTTTTATGATGGATACCCACAAATAATGAAATCCCTAAATAACTCATCACTTTGGAATTTTGAAAGTTCATACATAAAATTAGATGTCAATGGCAGTAAACACCCTTGCATCTGTTCTTAACTTCTATTCTTGGTAACATTCTGGTGACACTCTGGTGAGTGTCACCATAATTGAAACTGAAGTTACGATTAGGGTACTTCCACTCAAATAAATAGAATTACATCAGCAGTTAATTTTATTTCTTATGTTTTATCATCCTAAAACTTAGGATGTTTTGTTTTAAATCTTGTTTACATCCTAAAACTCGGAACTCTTCTGATCTTCTGTTCTGTAGCTATTTCATTTTTGTGTTGGCTTCAGTGATGTGAAGCCAACCAAAATGCTTTCAAGCATGTAGCTATACATAGCACTTAACTGCTGTTTTCTGTGATACTCTTGAGAAAGATCATTGTATTTCTTGATGTGTAGCCTTCAAACTTGCACTGTTCATTTCAAACATCACCTCTGGGTGATTCCTGACTACACAGATAACTATAATCTCAAATGTATTGCTGATTCTGTTTTTCATTATTTCTGAAAATTGTGTTCAAATAATGAATCTTAAAATCTACTGCTTTCTCCTCTGTTAGTCTTGACAAAGTGTTAATGAAAGCAATGAAAAGGTTTAGCAGTGAGGCAGTACAGCAGCATTCTCTCTTTCTACTGGTGGATGCTATCTTTTCCTATTAG